ATGGACACTTAGTTTCCATCTCTTTGCTACTGTGAATAGTGCAGTGAGAAACATAGGTGTGCATACATCTATTCATGTCCTGGCTCTCACTTCTTTAGGATATATACCTAGTAAAGGGATTGCTAGATCAAATGATATTTCTATTTCCAACTTTTTGAGGAGTTGCCATACTAATTCCACAGTGATTGTATCATTTTATAGTCTCACCAGCAGTGTATAAGTGCCCAATCTCTCCACATTCTTGCTAGTATTTATTATCTTCTGTCTTATTTAACTTTGCTATTAGTGCTGGGGTGAGATGGTATTTCATCGTTGTTTTATTTGCAAGTCTCTAATGGCTAATTGTTGTGAACATTTCTTCGTGTGTTTGTTGGCTGCCTGAATATCTTATTTGGTGAAGTGTCTGTTCGTGTCTTCTGCCCATTTTTAATTTGGATTGTTTGCCTTTTGATGTTGAAATATTGGAATTTTTTTTAATAAGTTTTGGAGATAAGTCCCTTATCAGATATGTCGTTGCCAATTTATTCCCCCCATCTATAGGTTCTCTTCTTACTCGTTTGGAGAAGACTTTTGTTGTATGTAAAATTTAATTTTTAGTAGGTCCCATTCATCTAGTTTATCTTCTGCTGTTTGCGCATTTTGGATTATGCTTCATAGATTAGAAGCTATTTTGTGCATTAGAAGTAGAATATATTTCTAATGACTTGGAATAAAGCTATAATATCAATAAACATCATATCAAAGCACATTACATAGAATGTTTAACATTAGCTTTGTTAACTTTTAAAAAATTCAATATTGAATAAAATCTGTAAAAATTATGATACCCTAGTCTTTTCATAAGATATCATTATTAGTAAATATTATATTGTGATGTTGCAGAATTTCTCTGTCCTGTAAGAGTTCTGACAAAGTTTTCCTTTAAGGTTCTACTATGAATAACAGAGTTGCTATGAGTTGGAACCAACTTAGTGGCACCTAACAAGAGCAGTGCATTTTCAAATGAATTTTTTGCACCACCTTTCTGTTGTTTTTCAATCTTACATCAGCCCCTTTTCCAGTTAAAATAAATATTATTTTCAGACAGTTCTTTCTAAAACTCAAAACTGATTGTATCTCTCTTGCATTAAAGTCTTCCAACAGATCTCAAGAACTTTCAGAACAAAATGTAAGCTATTTTAGCATGAATTATCTGGCCATCCCTATGTTATCTCTGCATCCCAGATTCCTTTGATTCTCAAAACCATGCAAACTCCTCAGTCCCACAAGTCTCTGTGTGCTGTGCTGCCTCTCTCTACCTGAATTGACTTTTTCCTCCTCATCTAGCAAACTCTTACCTTTGTTTCAGAACACATCTCAAATGCAGCCATCTCCTCATCAATGTACTCTTTTTTCCTTATCATTTGGTTAAACTTCATACTTTCCTACCCGTTCAGTCCCAATGCCTCTACATTCTTTGTATCATTACACAAATTATACTGTTTTATTTATATTTATTTATTTATTTATTTGGAAGTCTCTTCCAAGTTTACAAAGCTGTAAGCTCCTGGAGGGCAAGAGTAAATTTATTTTATTTTATTTTATTTTACTGATTTTATACCCACTGTTCCAAGCAAGATGTCTGATGTACAGTAGGCACTCAATTTGTTTTAAGTGAATAAATAAATGAAATCATATCTTTTTTTAAAAAAAAAACTGGACACATAGATATGATCATTTGCCAGTCCTTATTTTGGAGATTAATTTTTGACTACTGTTAAAATTGTATCATCTGGATGTCAAAAACATTTCACAGAATCACTCAGCATCAGCAAAATGCTTTCAAATGCCTGAAAAATCAAGCTCAAGGAATATGGTAGTTCTATTTAAAGTATAGATGGTAGTTTTACTGATATGTACACACACATACACACAGTTTGAATAATATGCTTAAACTTATAAAATATGCATTTGTTGCTTTCATTTGATTATTTTTATTATATTTAATCATTTATTACATTTTTAAATAATGTATATGAGAAGTCTCTATGTTTCTAACTATGTGAACTAATTTAAATTTTGTGACCCAAAATAAGTACAAATGAGCTGAAACCCAGAATATGAGACTTTTATTAGAGTCTTTTATATAAATAATTTTTGCTAAATTGACTAATTTTGACAGAGATGCAAGATAAATTGCTCAATATTTCTTCTTTAGCTAGTATCCATATGGGCACTATATATTTTCTTTAACAGAGTTACAAAGAAGGAAATTATCATACATTTATACTTACATTTTTCTAAATATGTGTTTTCTCTACAATGAAAAAATACATATTTTCATTCAAGAATGACCCTAAAAGTTTTATTTTTTTTAGTTATTTTTTGTTTGCTTGTTTTATTATGCATACTTATCAGTTTCAAATTTCTCTATTGAATAATGGACACTGCAGTGTTTTAAGAGTTTTGTTGTTCCTCCGAAGTAATTTTGCAACATTGATTTAAACTGTCATTCCTATTAGAAACCATGAAAAAAGCCAGTGTATCTGCTGATTCAGTGGAATTGTATAGAAATAACAATAAGATTGTAAGAAGCGAGTAATCTCTTAAAAATATAAGACAACATAAACCTCACTCTGTTCAAATACATCCATAAATCTGGGTTCCCTATGCTGTTAGAATGAGTCTTCTGTTATCTACAGTTACAGAAGAAAATTTCTCTTAGTAGATTTATCCCTTCTGTCCCTGGATTATATGTTGAGTTAGGAGGCAATATAAACAGAACACCAAAAAATAAGTCACTGCAAATATCAGTGAATTTTTTTTGAAAAAAAAAAATCTCTTCTTTTTACCACTGTCGTCATTTTAAGCATGAGTAATTGGTTGTGCATTTAGGGTTACCCTACATTACTCCATCTTTGGACCTGCTCTTAATGTATTCTGGAAGTACTGAAAGAATCCCATGTGAAGGCCTTTACTGTTGTTGTTGTTGTTATGTGCCATCAAGTCAGACCCAACTCATGGGTTTCTGAGGCAGTATCACTATGGAAGTAGATTGCCCCTTCTTCCGTCCAAGGAGTTGCTAGTGGGTTTGAACCACCAGCCTTCTGGTTAGCAGTCAAGTACCTTAGGCACTATACTACCAGAGCTCCTGAAGGCCTTTACTAGACACTGCTTATTATTGCAGTTCTTTAAAGTTCAAATTTTAGGATTGCTTCCCGATTGACCAAGTTCTAAAAATTAGAATTGATTTTAAAGTTTTTTCCAGGCCCTAGTTTTCTAACATAAGCAATTAGTTCAAGTGAAAACAGATGATTAGAAATATCATGGAGTAAACATCATGTTTTCTTATCAACAGGAGTGGGGTTTTGTACAAGAAAGAATCTATTCCTGTGGTAGATGCTATTATAGTGTCTCCTGGTCATATCTTTGGCTTTCTTCTCTCTACTATTAGGCCCTAATTTGAGTCAGAGCTTTGTTAGGATTTTTATTTTCATTTCCTTGTGTCTATATCCCATTTTCTTCACCTACACAAACTTACTAATTTCCTAAGCAGATTTTCTCTGTATTGACCCACTTCCTCAATCCATACCACCTTCAGCAGAGGATTAAAATTTCCAAAAATTCTGGTTTGTATATATCATCTTAAAAATAATTTGAATAAAATTCTCACTTTTGATTTTATGCTTTCCTTACTCTGGGTCAAAATCTATCCTTTGTAACATATAATACTTATACAAGGTGGACGCTCAATTCCTGCTATATTGCACACTATATGCTAGATTAGTTCTTGTCCCTTGTACTTTGCTCACTAAGGCCCTTGCTAGGAATGTGGTATTCTCTCAACATGTCTAAATGCTGACCCTTCCTCAAAGCATGTGCAATGCCCATTTCATGTACAAAGCTTTTCACCACTGCTGCAGCACAAAGGCATTCTTCTATTCTGGTGTCCTGTGGTGATCATTATATGTTCTGTAGTGAAGTGCTCCTCCACTGCCATCTGAGATTACCTCTGTCACTGCAGTTGTCACACCCTTAGATAATTATTGGTTTAGTTTTATTGTTGCTTTTGTTGTGTTTTATATTTTCCATGAGACTATAAACTCCTGAGGAGTCCCTGTGTGACACAAATGGTTAAGCACTTGACCACTAATCAAAAGGTTGGTGGTTCAAACCCACCCACTGGTGCCTCAGAATAAATATCTACCAGTCTTGCTTTTGAAAGATTACAGCCTTGAAAAGTTTATGGACTGTAGTGCTATTCTGCACACATGGGATTGCCATGACTCAGTATTGACTCGAGGGTAAAAGTAGTTTTTGTTTTTCTTTTATTTTTCTTTATGAGGTAGGTGATAACTGAAGGATAGGTGCTTTTCCTCTCTGTATCTTTAGTGCCAACTAGAACATAGTAATAGCCTGATTCATGCTTATTTATTTTAATGACTTTAAAATATGCTAATGAGTTATCAATTTTCATACATGTACTTAAATCATAAGTAATATTTATATGTAATTCCCATCACTTCACTTCTTCAATGTAAACACTTTGGGAATAGGGATCATATTTTATGATTTTTGGTATTCCAGTGCCTAGTACACTGTCTTATAGCTGTTATGAGAATAACCAATGTTTGTTAACAGATTGATTTCAGAGGAAGAAGATGATTGTGGAAGGGAATAATTCTTTTCTATATTTAAAATGCAGGACCAAATATGGAAACTATATTTTTCACTGAAAATATTAAAATTCCATTAAAAACTATTTCTTATGCAAGTATATGGACCACAGAGTTACAATATACCTTTAAAATGTGTCTACTAATAAGTTCACTTTTCTCATATTTGTTAGAGCGTTCTTTTCCCCCTTCCCTTTAGTGTTTTGGGAAATGTGAATAAATAAATCAGAAACTGTAGCCTCTGCCTGGAACAGTGCAATCCACCTAGGACCAGACTTTCTCTTTGATATCTTTTTCTTTGTCAACAGTTGATATTTACACACTTTCTCTCCATTTAAATTGTAGCTCCTCCACAGTTTGTGGTTAGGCCAAGAGATCAGATTGTTGCTCAAGGTCGAACAGTGACATTTCCCTGTGAAACTAAAGGAAACCCGCAGCCAGCTGTTTTTTGGCAGAAAGAAGGCAGCCAGGTGAGTGTGAGTCTTGACTGCTTCTCTGAAAGCTCTGAACGCCCCCTGTCTCTGGTGATCCTCAGCGTTTCCCCAGCCGCTCTTGTTTTCAGTGTTGAATTTATTGTATTTCTAAAAGAGACACCAATGAATTCTAAAGTGGAAGTGAGCTGTTCTGATATAGTATTCTTTTTTTTTTTTTTTTTTGTTAGCATTAATGTTTTAAAAGTTTGGATTTTTTATATACCAGAAATATGCAGTGTTACTAAATTGTTTTAAAAATCCAACCAGTACTTCTATGGGCTTAAAAATTCTGAACAGGAAAATAATTTTGCTCTCTTGCATTTAACTGCACTGAAATGATTCAGTAAGTTCATAAAAAAAGGTGCTTAGAACAGTGCCCAGCACATAGGAAGCATTTGAAAATATTTCCATTATTAATCGGCCTAGAAATCTAGTTTTAGTACCTCTCATAGATACAAAAAACAAAGTAAACTCATTGCCATTGAGTCAATTCCAACTCATAGTCACCTCCATTGGATTTCCAAGGCAGTAAATCATTATGGAAGTGGATTGCCCCAGGATACACAGTGTATATATTTTTATCATTATTAATTTAAGCATGCTCTATGCACAGGTAGAAGTCTTGTCTTGAATTATCCTTTCTGGATCACTTCATAGTGGGTTAGACAGGGAATAATACAGTATATACAGGAAGATAGGAGCCACGGTGACACATTGGTTAAGTGCTCAGCTCCTAACCCAATGGTCAGTGATTTGAATCCACCCAGTGACTCCTCATAAAGACTGCAGCCTTGGAAACCCTATGGGGCAATTCTCCTCTATCCTATAGGTTCAGTCTGAGTCAGAGTGAATTTGACTGTAACAGGTATACAAGAAGAACTAACATCTGTGTTGTTTTTGCTGTACCCCAGTTTCCCTTCTCCATGGCCTGTTCTGGACAAGATGGACTCTCTGAGTTTTTGCTAAAAGTTAACTGTATACATTTATTTCCTCATTCAAATCTTGGGTCTGAGTTAGGATCAGTGCTTAGCATCTAATTTCTGAGTGGAATTTCTAGCTTAAAACTAAAAAAAAAAAA